CTCCGGGTGGGAAATAGGATTAGTGGGAAAAATTGCATCAGTTTAGGGTGACTGCTTGTCCTGTTGAGATAAAACAGTGGAATTGATTGGGAATTAACCCCCAGAAATTGTGCGCAGCAGGGGTTAGCCTGCTGTAGAATCTTCACAATTTGATCAGTTTCCACTGGGCCAAGAGTCTCTCATAAACAGACAGCATCACGTGTGGCATATTAATTTTTCATGATGGCTGACTGTGATGTGATTCAGGACTGGAAAAATTGCAAATCGGGCACACTGGGTGCTATTTTATATGAACTGTTGAACAAATGGCTTGCCACATTGAATTCTAATGAATATTGTAGTGAAACAAAGAAATTTATTTCATGGTATGAAAAGATGATTCACAAAGGAAGCACACGTCTCTCTCTCTCTCTCGCTCTCTCTCTCTCCAGGGGCAAACACACAGATAGGAAGCAAGCCTCTCTATCTGCAGTGAGAGCTAGAGAGGGAGTGAAAGCCTGTACATTTTTAACTGAGAACAAAATAGAAGCCAGAGTAAAACAAGCTGAGGGTTTTCTTGCCGGTTGTGTATGCTTTTTGGAGACTTTCAAGTGTTTTCAGTCTCCTTCAGTCAGTTCAAGCAAATCACGGAAGCCAATTGAGGTAAATTCTCCCAGTGGCACAGCTGTTTCAGTCCAAGCAGTCTCTGATAGAGATTGTACAGTGCGGTTTAGTCACAGACACATACACACTTCTGGTGTGTGTATGTGGCTCAGGAATGTCGAGGTCATACACACACACTCTCACCCCCTCCTCCCGCACGAGCAACAGAGGAAGACAAAAAGCAAACAGATTTTCAAAATAATGTTCATCACCTAATGGCATTACTTCCTTCTGGCGATGTTGAGCAAAATGGTACGTGGTACTATGTAGCAGAAATCCACTTATAAAACGTGGATTTTACGTCCCTTCAGTGGTTATAAAAGGTGGTATTTTACAGATAGCTGCTCTTCCTGGTAAAGCAGAGAATTGGTCTAGGGCTAAGCAGTACTTAGACGATGTCATAGTGGGGTCTGTTGTTTCATAGCGCTGTTGAGTCTTCTCTCTCTGAGAGAGTTCAGCAGTGGTTAAAACAGGTGATTTTCTTAAATGCTCTGCTTTTGTACACAACGCACAGACACCTGTACCTGGACAGCCACAACCCTATTCATGGAACTCACAACCCATGAGTAGTGGCTTTCAGAATTGTGGCAGATCACGAGCGCGTGGTCGAGGTTCCAGGGGACACAGGAGAAATTTTGTGAGAGATGACAGACAGATGTTGCAGACTACACCCTCTGGTGTTGACATGCATCTTAACACTTCAGCTGACGTTTGGTGGGGACTTGTGTATTCTCCTGAAAACACTGATCGTGTACATACATTCCATTTATGGC